GCCGGGTCAGTAGGAGCATTTCTGGTGGACGCCACAGCGCAGTCACAGTGAGCGGCACTGAGGACTCTGTTTCACACGTGCCACCCGACGTAAACTCACAAAGCCCCTGCAGAAGTATCCTCGCCCCACTTCACAGCTGAGGAAACCACTCGGGGAGTGAAGCCACTCACTGGGGCCCCCCAGCGAGGCCCACCTGCAGTTAGTGAGGCACGGCAGCCCTGGAATTTCGAGGACCTGTTGAATGTCTAAAAATCCCACGGGTGCCGATAATTGATACAGCGACATGATCTGAGAGGTGGTGAACCGGAGGCACTGGAAAAGGTCTCCGAGCTGGGGTGTTGGAGGGGAGGGGAGGCAGCCAGGGTCACCGAGCAGAGCGAAGCGCTTCGCCTGACCGAGCGTCTGCTCGGTGCACCTGCAGCGAGAAGACTCACAGAGCCGCACAGAAACAAAGCAGACTATGCGAGAGTGCAACCCTACAAGCGGAACTCACCCCCACACGGACACGGAAACGCGCCGTGGTTTGCATATCAGGCCTGCATGCAGTCCATCACAGCTCCTTCCAGACGCCTGTCATTCACACATTTGCATTGAAATGTAAAGCTATTTTAAAAAAATCTGGCATTGTTGTATAGAGAGAAAAAACAAGACATTTCCTTCTGAGAGCCAAGCGCTCTTATGAATGAAAAAGGATTTACTAGGACCCAGAGTGAAGGGCAGAAAACAGAGCTTGAAGACAAGGCGGCCAGAGGGAGTGATTCTGCACAGTCACCGTGAGCAGTGTCCTGAAACAACCAGCGGGGCTATCAGAGAAGTCACGCCTCCCGGGGACAGCAAGTGAAGAGGAATGCTCTTCATCGGGAAGCGGCCTGGCTTTGAGGTCCCCCAGACGTCCTCTCAGTGTGGGGTGGAAATGCCAGGTAGCAGCATTTCCTCTTCTCCCTCCTGCTATCTGCCACACTCCCAGACCAGAACCCAAGTCCTGGACATGTCCTGGTCCTTTGGGCTTTACAGTTACATCTGCAGCCAGTGGGCTTGGCCAATGTAAACTACATTTAGACAGAATGAAATTTCTGCTGTGCCACTTGGTGACCGGAAAAAAGTGGCAATCTTTTTTTCTTATGGTCTGATAACTCTAAGTGTAATAAGCTATAATCATGTCTTCCTTTTGTATGTGACTTGGAACCAAGAACTGGTTTTACGAAATTTTGCAAAAATGATCCCAAATTATTTACAGTAGAAAATACAGAAATCTGATGGGGAGCTGATCACAGGTTCTCCGATGACATCACGGCAGCCGGGACGTCTAATACTGGAGTGAAACAAGGACTCGCTCCACAAACGCTCACTAGGCATCTCCCGTACACCGGGCACCATGCCAAGCTCCAGGAGCCCACCAGGGGACCAGGACTCACCTGGCCTCTGGTGTCCTACAAGGTGTGAGTAAATCTAACAGGTCCAGAGCACGTGCCTCGGTGATTAGGAAATGCTCTTATTTTTCACTGTCTACAGACCTACCTCTGTGGCAAAACCAAGTGATTTCCAAAGAAGCCTGGTGATCTTAGAGAATCTGACAGATGCCAAGAGGTTGTTTTTCCTGCCACAAGACGCCAACTACCTGAGCCCAGGGAGGAGCGGGAGTCACTGGTGATGAAGGGGTAGGTGCCGATTCACCGTCTCTGGTCTGCTTTGAGAACCTACCCTGAGCACGAATCTGACACCTACATTTCAACAGGTCTCAATGATAAAAGTATTAGAAGGAGTCGTTTTGTAAAAACTAACAGCAGGTTTTGTTGTCCTATTCTTCAAATCGTGAATGGTACGTGTCTGGCTTTGGCCCATCCATAAAAGCTGTGTTTCTAACGAGGGCGACTCTTTTTCTGAAGGACGGCCAGCTGCCTGTTTGGATGCAGCAGGAGCTGTTGACCGTCCTGTCTCGAGCTCAGAGCCGAGCAGCTTTAGAATAATGCTCCCTTTTTGTACCAGTTTGGTTGTCCTGGTCTCTCTCCTCACAGCTCTGCCCTATTGTAAAACTCCACTTAGGGACGGGAAGAATGAGCGACTGTCTGTGTGGAGCCCGTGGAAATGTTATTCTATTGTCGGCCTTGGCACCCCCACTGCGCAAGGTATGACCTACAACAGTCTTCCCCATTGTCCGCCGACTCTCCTTTGACTAAGGGAGACAAAGCTTCTCCCGAGGGGTCCAAATCCAGCCCCCAATCGAAGGCTTAATTGGCAACACAAAGCTCGACCACCAGGTCCTGGACACTCTCCAAAGGGGGTTTTGTTCTTAAGCCCCAGGCTGGCAACCCCCAGAGAACAGAAAACGGACACGTTACCCATCCACGCACCGCAGATGCCCCAGCTCCATGAATCTGGAACTCTGATTACAGAAAAACTTCTACACGGTTGTAAACATATTGGAAGTGCTAGGATGTTGTTTTAATCCTAAAATTTACAATGCCTAGTTGCTTTCTGTTTTCGAAATTCTCTCCTAACGAGTGATCTATAGGAACTTTATAAACACAGAATAACAGTCCGATGCTACTGGTGGATTTACAACTTCCAAATAGATGGAACACACATCTGTGGAAGCCCATAAATGCCAAGGGGGGGAAGTAAGTGATTCACTACACTCTGCACTGGAAACCAAGACTCTTGGACACTCAGTCTGGAATCTATGTGTTTATAATTGGCAGCTGGATAATAATTTCCCACGTTTTTACTTTTCTTTGGCTCTGAAAAAATTTTATTTTATTTATATAAGTTCCAAATATATAAAGAGGTATGAATTATAAAATTCTATTTCCTTCAAGAAAAAAAGAAAAATCTCATTTTCTTCACTATCTGCTACTTCAAAAAATCAATCTTAAAATTAAACAACTTCCTCTTAAACAACCAATGGGCAAAGAAGAAATTGCTAGAGAATTTAGAAGATATGCTCTGACCTGTGTAGTTGAGTTGCTTGGGTATTGTCCTGCAAAGCAAAATGTCACTGGTTCAATTCCCAGTCAGGGCACATACCTGGGTTGCAGATTCAGTCGCCAGTCCAGGTGTGTGTGAGAGGCAACTGATCAATGTTCTTTTCTCACATCAATTTTATCTCCCACTCTTTCTCCCTCCCTTCACCTCTCTCTAAAAATGAATAAATAAAATCTTAGGGGGAAAAAGAGAATTTAGAGAATACCTGGAGACAAATGAAAATGAAAACAAAACATACTAAAACTTAAGAAAACAGTACTAAGAAGGAAGTTTATAGCCATAAACAACTACATTAAAAAGAAAAAAGATCTCAAATCAACAACCTATCTTTACACCTCATGGAAGTATAAAAAGAAAAAAAACAAACTAAACCAAAAATTTGCAGAAGTAAAGAGACAATAAAGAGTACAGCAGACCTAAATGAAATAGGAAACAGAAAAACAATTTTTAAAAATCAGCGAAACCAAGAATCTTTTTAAAGACGAACAAAATTGACAAGTCCTCTGTGCTAGACTAAGGAAAAAAGAGCAAAGACTCAGCTAAAATTAGAAATGAAATGGGAGATATCAGAACTGATTCACAGAAATAAAAGGGATTCTGCAAGGCTGCCATGAACAAGCGTGTGCTGATAGACCAACAGCACAGAGGATGTGGACCAACTCCTTGACATGTACAACCTACCAAGACTGAATCACAACCAATAAAAACCCTGAACAATCTACAATTGGAAGGAAACTGAAGTGCTATGAAAAATCTCCCAACCAAGAGAATCCCAGGACCAGATAGCATCACTGGAGAGCTCTACCAAACCTTTATAGAGGAAGTAGTCCCCGTCCCCTTCCGACTCTCCCACAGAACTGCAGGGGAACACTTGCCATCGCGTCCCACGAGGCCAGAGTCACTCTAACACCAAAACCAGGCAAAGCTCTAAGAAGCACTGCACAGACCAACACCCCTGACGAACACCGATGCAAAAATCCGCAATAAGGTGAAACCAAACTGAATCGAACAGTGCGTTAAACTAATTATAACACCACAACCAATTGGGATGCACTCTGGGAATGCAAGGATGGTTCAATGTAATGAAAACCAGTGCAATCATCACGTTAGCAGAATAGAAAATCGATCCGTGTGATATAGCACATTAACAGGATGAAGGACAAATAAATGTTTTCTTGATCGATGAAGAAAAAGTACTTGACAAAATTCAACATCTTTTCATGCTGAAAATACTCAGCAAGCTAGAGACAGAAGGAAACTACCGTAACGTAATAAAAAGCCACGTATGAGAAGCCCATAGCTGGCGTTGTACTCAATGGCAAGAGACCAGAAGCTTTTCCTCCGAGAACAGGAACGAAGTAAGGACACCCACTCTGACCACCACTACTCAACAGCACCACTCACTGGAGGTCCCACCAGTATAATCAGACAAGAAAAAGAAGTAAAAAGCACCCAAATTAGAAAGAAAGAAGTAAAGTTATCTCTGCTTACAGATGACATAATCTTATCTGTAAAAAAACACTAAAGATTCACCCTGGCTGGTGTGCCTCAGTGCACTGAGGGCTGACCTGTGAACCAAAGGGTCCCTGGTTCAATGCCCAGTCAGGGCACATGCCTGGGTTGTGAGCCAGGTCCCCAGTTAGGGGCTCACGAGAGGCAACCACACATTGATGTTTCTCTCCCTCTCTTTGGCCCTCCTTTCCCCTCTCTCTAAAAATAAATAAAATCTTTTAAAAAAACACTAAAGATTCTCACACACACAAAAAATTTAGAACTAATAAGCAATCTTAGCGAAGCTGCAGATACAAAAACCAACACACAAAAATCAGTTGCATTTCTATAAACTAACAACAACTCCGAAAGGAAATCAAGAGACTGTGGAAACACACCAAATACTGTACTTTTACAGGCTTTAATCAGATGGGAGACTGCAAAGTGTCACATAGGAAAAGGAAAACCTATTTTAACCCCCGAGATGGCTCTGCCTTTAGCGTCCACCCAAGGCCCTCGGTGCCTACCTTTTGGGTGTCGCCGTCACAGCCATGTCTTTCCTGGTCCCGGAGGGGGATGGCAGAGAGCCGCTCGGTTTCTTTGGTAACACAGTGCCATTGTTGACGGTGGTTCTCAGGGGCAGGGCCTGCACCAGCGGTCTTGCTGTAAGACAAGCGGGAAAGGACTTCAGGACGCGCCCCTTGTCGAGGTAACTCTTCAGGACATGCAAATCGGTTTCCACCAATGCTGGCGTCATAGACATGGTGCCGAGGCAGTTCAACGGCGATGTCTAACGAGGGGTGCTGACGACTGAACCTCGACACCGGCCGCATGCCTTACACAGAAGTTAACTGCAAACGGACCACAGACCTGAGTATAAAATGCGAAACTATAAAACTTTTCGATGAACACATTGGGGAAAGCTGTGGGGAAGACTTTCCAGATACAACACCAAAAGCACAACCTATGAAAGAAAAAATTGATAGCTTGGACCTCATTAACATCCTAATAGTTTTGCTCTGTGAAAAAGCCTTCATTAAAGGGGTGAAAAGACAAGTCACAGACTAGGAGAAAATATTTGCAAGTCATATAGCTTGTAAAGGATCTGTACATAGAATATTAAAAAAAAAAACTCTAAAAACTCAACAGTGAGAAAACAAACAGCCCAATTAAAAAAAAACAACAGGCAAAAGATCTGAACAGACCCCCCACCAAAGAAGACACGCAGATGGCAAATGAGCCAATGAAAAGATGCTCAGCATCTTCTGTCACTAGGGAAATGCAAATTAAAACAATAATGAGATATCTCGATCTACCTATTAGGATGGCTAAACTCCAAAAGACAGACAAAGTACTGACTTCAGGCCAGGATGCGGAGCAATGGAAAGCACTCACTGCTGGTGCGAGTGCAAACCCGCACTGTCGCTTTGGGAGAGAGCTGGCCGTCGCTAAACACAGTCTTACCCTGCGACCCAGCCACGGGCAACCCTAGGTGTTTGTCCACTGATGGGAAAACACATTTATGTAAGATCTGCATTTCATATTTACAATAACCGGAAGCAACCAAGATGTCCTTCAGTTCGTGAGTGAATAGAAAAGCTCTGGTACATTCATACAACACAATATGATACAAGAGAAAAGGAAAGGAACCAGCCCGCACCACCGGCGGACGAGTCTGCATCCATGCTGCTAAGAAGAGGCGTTATGTTGCCTTTTCTGGGTCACCACTGCATTCTTTTCCTTCGGACCCGCTGTGCCTAGCACCATCGGACTGGCAGCCCCACGGCAGGCAAGACCCTCTGGGCCCGTTTTCCTAATTAGGCTGAAGTTAGTCTAGAAATGCTCTCAGGACGTCGCCTCCGCTCTGAAATCTACGACCCTAGTCCACGTGAGGGGAGTGTTCTGAAGCAACACCGGGTTCCCGTGGACGTGGACACCCGGGGGGCTCTCATATTCGCAGGAAGTGGAAGGGGAAGAGCCCCGGGTGGAAGGGGACAGCCCCCATTGGGGGGGGTGGAGGCAGAGACCCAGTCACTCCGGTGGAACCTACGGCCAACAGTGACCCTGCACACTGGTTCACAGACTGTCCCCATGCGCTACCGAGAGTAAAACCCCGCAGACGGACTCCATGGGTTGGTGACTGAAATCTCCGCTCTCAGATATTTGGAATCTGAGGGCTAAACATCCACGGTTGGGCCTGCAATGAAAAGTGCACCTTTCCGAACGGTGGGACTGGAGTGGCCGGACTTCAGAAAGTGCTGTGCGCGATAATACATTTTCACAACAACAGCTGATATAAATGTGGAAGTTCAGGTATAGCTAGTCAGATCCACTAATGCTTAACACGTTGACATCGATGTTCAGTTATAGTCTATAGGGTCAAGAAACCTTTTTAACTTGTATTAACAACTCAGTGAGATATTTGATAAGTAAAACTTTCCACCAGGCCTATGCAGGTGATTATGTGTGAAATCTACAGTTTAATTTCAGCATATCTGACCATTCATGGACCTAGAATTCCTAATTATCTCTTTCAAAATATAAAATGTCTGTATTTGGAATTGGGGAAGGCAATCTGCTTTTGCTGAACTGTAAGACAAAGTAGACAACTGGTTAAGTGCTGGGAAGGTTCCTGTCGCCAGGACCCAGCAAACCTACAGATGCATCTGTGCCCCGATCCAGCTATCCCTGCTCCCAGGATTTGACCCTGAAGATACCCTGGCAAAAACACAAAAGGCGCCCTGACTGGTGGGGCTCCGTTGACTGGATGTTGTCCTGTGAACAGAAAGGTCACGGGTTGGATTCCCAGTGAGGGCACATATAAGAGGCAACCCATCGATGTTTCTCTCCCTCTCTTCATCCCTTCCCCTCTCTCTAAAATAAAAAATAAAATGTAAAAAAAAAAAATCCTAATGGAGTGAGGAGAAGTGAATAGAGGGCAATTAGGATGAATAAATAAAACTGACTACATGTTGATAAATAATGAAGCCAGGTAAAAAATAAAAGGTATTTTTCTTTCTACTGTTATATACATTGGAACATTTTCATAATACAAAGTCTAAAAACAATCTTTCTTAGCCTCTGAAAAATTGAATATACCTCCTAAACATTTTCTATAAATCACTAAAGAATTCATATATAAACCGTAGAGTAGAAATAATAAGAAGAATGGAAGAAACTATAGTGTGTTCTGTCCAAAAGAAAGCAGAAGTTGTTCTGTGATTAACTAGTATGTAAAAAGAAAGATAAAGAGAAAGGACGGTGAATGGGGGAGGGGAAAGTATTTCTCCCTAATCGTGGTCCACCAGGATAAAGTACTAAGTTAATTATTCATTAACTTAATCCACTGCAAAGAGCTGCAACGTTTTGTAACTTGTTAGTTTTATATATCTGATATAATCTGTGGAGGGACCATAACATAATATTTCCCACAATTATATGCTGAAGATGATCTACTGTAATTTGCAAATCAAATCAAACCTTGAGAAAAGAACTCTCATTTCTAATCATCCGGTTATTCATTTCTTAAATATTTGACTTGGTTTGAATAACCCTAATTTACATAATATTGCTCAGAGGGTGCACAGCAAAGCAACACGGAGGGCGGAAGGAATCCACCTCTACGTGCAGCCAGGCCTCGGGGTCCACACCCAGATTTTCCTATGCCAGCTGGGTGACCTGGGGCAACTTATTCCTTCTCCTCCAGGCTGCCTCCACATCTGTAAAATGGGCACAAAGCAGTGAAAGGAGCTAATATATCCAAAACCTCTACTGCAAGTCCAGCACTCGGTCAACGAACAAACAGCAGCCACAGTGTTATGGTAAATGTCAGGGTTAAGTGCTAGTGCAATGGAGGCCGTGTGACTGAGGAGAACCCACAGCTCCTTTCGACAGCAGTCCCGGGGGCTCAGTGCTGAGACCAGGTTTCCATGTCCTGGGAGGGCAGGACTGACTTGCTCACCAGCATCGCCAGCAGAGGCTTCAGGTGACATTTCTGAAGTCTCTGATCATTAATCGGGCTATTAATAAAAAGGGCTGCAAACGTACAGAGAAGTTTTACCAAAGGCAACCTGTCGAACTGTAGCAAAATTAAAATGAGCGGGAGGAACTACTTGCTGGTTGATGCCCGGGAAAGCAGACAACCCAGATGCATGGGACGGTGACTATAGTCTAACCGACGGTTTCCTTTTAAAATCCAGTGACGCACCCCTAGCTAGCGCTGACACGGGAGCCAGCCGTGCACAATGGCTCTGTCACCTACTTGACCCCACACCTGTCTTCCTGAGAACACGTGAGCGAACTCCGCCTCCGGAAGTCTGCCGTGAGCCCTGCTGCTGGTCCCCACGCAGTGAGGGTCAGATTCAGGGGGAAGAAAGGAGTCAGTTTTAAATAAAAAATTCCTTCTGCTTATTGAGGAATATACACCAAAGGACATTTAGAAACCAACTAAAAGTATAAAAAAGAAAAACGCCATAACCCTACCACTGAGGGAAAAAAGCAATAAATGTTAGTATAGCTCTTTCAAATATTTGCACAGATTTTGTCCATTTACTTGAAATTATACAGTCTATTCAGTTCTGCATCCTGCTTTTGGCTCCTAACGTAGTGTGTAACGCTTAAACATTCTCTCTGTTCTTACCAGTCGTGGACCCTTTCAAAGACCACACAGCCTTCAACCTCAGGATGCCAAGTGGTCTGGCCGTGCCCCTCCCTTCCCTGTACTGCTTCCTGTCCGACTGTCCCCACTGTGCACCATGCTGCAGTGACCTTTATTCACCAAGTATTTTCTGTATTTGCACACGCAGTAGGTCCGCTCACTTCATTCCACTAGTGGTGAGTGTTGTGCCCATTCCAGCCTCAACGCTGAAAAAACGTGACTCTTAGCAAGAGCTTCAGACTGTCTGCCCCGTGAGCTACTTGGTTCTTTCTCTGCTGTATGGTGACCCCAGTGCATAGGACCGTCCCGTCTGCACGGAAATCCAACATGGGCAAAGCTAACTCTGCGGGCTGATGCTCTCTACGGTGAAGACATAAGAGAGGGCAACAAGGTCTTAGTATTCTCTCTCTCTCACACAAACGAACGGAAAAGAACAGCAAAGTTTGGGGAGCTTATGTAGAAGCTGAGTTCATCTTCATGCTAAGACCCAGTATCACTGGGTTAAGAAGAGTTGGATAATTAGCACAATCAGCCACAATAGGGACAGTAGAATATTGTTAAAAAAAAAAAAAGTCACCTGAGACACAGGTCCCTCTCTATAAACTACGTCCACAGGCATTTTTAGGGGGTGGCCACAGCCTTCCCCTGTCTCGGGAACCCTCGAACTTGAGCTCTGAGCTGTTGTCATGAGACTAGCTCTCTTTGTTACGCTAGCAAAGTCCTATGAAGAAAGATCGAGTCGGTCAAAGCTCAGAGGTCAGGATGGCTTTCTTCCAATAAGCAGAGAGGTGATGGGGAGAGGAAAGAGAGTGAGCACCCACAGCTCGTGGCCACACTGAGGCAGCGAGTGGAAGCGCTGCCCAGCAGCGGGGCATGTGGGCAACTCACAGCCCCAGTGTGCTCACCACGCATGTGTTCTGGGTGCTGTGAAAGCCGACTGCCTTCCAAGGTGGCCTGACCCACTGTAGCAGACAGCACAGGGACGCGCCCCCGGAGCTTCGGACAACTAACCTGGGGGAGAAAAACAATCACTGAATATTTAAAAGTGAGCGTGCTGGGAGTCCAGTCCACTCAGGGCTGCATGAGGATGGCAAGCCTGGGCACTGCAAAGCGATGGTGATAACAGGGCCTTTCGGAAACCCAGGGAGGTCTGCCTACAGCCCATCTTGTTTCAATGATCCCCAACCCCAACCAAGGCTGCAGAGGGCCAGCTCTCCTGACCGCGGGGCGCCTGCAGGGCCATCGCGGTGCCTCGGGAGGAGCTGCCTCCAGTGCCGGTGACCGATGCCTCCCCCTCCTCTGCCCCAGCGTCCCGAGTGCACTGTGCCCAAGCAGAGGAACCACGACCCCCACATCAGGGGTGCCACCCCTCCCAGCTCCCTTGTGGTCTTTTTCCATTTCTTGATGTGACCTTCTGGCTTTTATGCTTTGGCTTGTTTTCACTTATGGAAAGAACGCTGCCAAGAAACATCAGCTATAACTCCTCTTAGAAGTTTTATAAAAATTAAGTTTTACTCTTAATCAAGAAAAAAAAACTCCTGGGTAGCCCTCTTGTATTATTTTTTTCCCTAATTTTCTAAAAGTGAAGACCTTGTAGCCCTAACTAGTGGGTTGGGCATTATCCCTTTGCAAAGGGAAGGGTCACCAGTTCGATTCCCAGTCAAGGCACATGCCTGGGTTGCGGGGCCAAGTCTCTGGCTAGGGGTGTGTGAGAGGCACCTGATTGAAGTTTCTCTCTCACATCAATGTTTCTCTGCCTCTCTTTCTCCCTCCTTTCCTTTCTCTCTAAAAATAAATAAAATCTTTGAAAAAAAGAATAAAGAAGCTATAGAAGTCTTAAGTTTTATATGAGCAACTACTTCTAACGTACCCTTTAGGATACAGTAGTCATCGGAATTATTTTGGGAAAGCTGAATAGGTCAAGAATACCTGAAATAACCTGGTTTCCATTTAAAATACCCTCGTCACTTTGTAACTTAGGAGAGAAAGACTATTTGAAAGGATTATTCAAAACGCAGATGGCGCCCTGCGGGTGCATCTCCTGTGGGCTGGTGGTGGTGACCCCGGAGGGCGGGACATCCGTTTGCCACAGAAATGCACAGATGGCCGGGCGTGGAGAGAGCGTGAGTACCTGCAGCAGAGCCCTCTCCTGACCCCAGGGGAGACACGGTGACTGTAGCATCACTGGTGAAATCCAAACACAGTAAGAAAGTTCAAGTTAAAGGGGCATTTACAAGCCACAGTCCCAAGAATGTTTTAACCAAGGGATTTCTACAGCCCAGAGGAATTCAGTTCTGCTTTCTAGGGCTGGCCCTGAGGAAAATTCAGACAAGAGGTGAGCTGCACCTTCCAGCTGAAAGCAGACAGGAGGGTATAGACTAAGAGGGGATTTATTTCCAAAATTTCAAAAAGAGGGTCACCACAAAGTTACTTAAAACAAAAACACCACTTTTTCATGTTCTGTGCCCAGATGCCACAGGGAAATAAAAAAGCATCTCCATCTGCCAGACCGCCTGGGGGTGAGCGATAAACTTCAGGGCCCTGAGCTCCTCGGGGACAGGCCTGCCCCCGCTGGGCCCCAGGCCTGGGCTCAGTGTTGCATGTGGCCCGTGATCAGTCACGAGTTTGCTGAACTGAGATGAGAGACTGCATGAGATGAGCATGGAGGTGAGAGCTGGAGACAGACTTTCCAGAGGAAGAGCTTCCCTGGGGCACTCAGGGGGTGCTGGGGCTTTGTGCGAACTAACTCCGTCCCGGAGACTCTGGGTGAACTATCACTCTCGCTGCGGACGGTGCCTTCCTTGACCCACCAGGCATCTGCTGACCACTACAGCCACACCCCTCTGGGCTGTACGCCACCGCCGCCGAGTCAAGAAACACTGTCCTGCCTCGTGTGATGACCCTGACCCTGCTGAGGTTGTTTCACTGCTTTTCTGAGTTTCGCTTCTCTGTCCACATTAAAGAGTACGGCGCATCGGCTGGAGCAAGGCCCGGCCCTGAGACCGACCGTCCTTCTGCTCCTGCATGAGGTCGGGCGCCCGCCCACCTTTGGTAGGTCCTTTCCTGTTCAGCACGGCCTGCTGCTCCTCGGTGATGTTCAGCCGCCGAACCACGTCGGCCAGGGCGGACTTCAGCAGCTGGATGTCATCTTCTTGCATCTGGACCCGCTGCTCCAGGGAGGCGATGCGGTCTGTCACCTCCATGCTGCTCGCCGCGGAAGCGCTGTCATCTGAACCAAGGAAAGGAACAAGTCAGTTTCACGTGCCCCCCAGGGAAATCAGCACAGTAAACACACACTGGGGCAGGGCTGCCGCAAAATAATTAAAAAGCGAAGACAACGGCCTTTCAGCAGAAATCACGCGGCACCTTCCACTACGCGGGACCACAGCGCTTCATTCTCTGCAGCCTCCTCCTCCCCCACGTCGGTGGTTCTCAATTTTCAAGCTGCGGCTTTAACTGCCATTGCATTCCCCCCTCCCATGGCATCAGAGGCCTCGGAGGTAGAAGGGATTCTAGAACCTGTTGACTTCAACCTCCCACCCGTGGCCGGAGCCACTGCGCAGCCTCGCAACTTTCGCTCCAACAACGCCGACACGTGTCAGAGAATCACCAGGCCACGCCGCCCGCTGGGCAAGACTTTCAAGGCCTGGCCACTCTGACCAGGCAGTTTGAGTGGCCAGTCCTGTTCACTTAGCATAGCCTTATGGCAATGGCAGCATTTTCCTGTACAGAATCATTACTTCCCAGTTCCTTTTCCAGGTGTGCCAGGCCCTACGTGACCTTCCCCGCCTCTCCGACCTCATTTCACATCACTCTCCCTTCACGTGCCACGCTGCGGCCGTGCCGACCTCTCCCCCACCTGGGGGCTTCTGCATCTGCTGCTGCCTTTGCCTGAAACATTTCCCAACCCGCCACCTCTGTTCTTAAGGTTCTGCCTCCAACGAGAGCCCTGCAGAGAAGCTTCCTAACAGCCTTACCCGACGCTGTCGCTCTCGGTACATCAACCTTGATTCTCTCTTCACAGCATCTCTGACTGCGATCCTCCCAGGTATCTGCCTATTGTCTACGTCTCCCAGCTAGAATGTGAGCCTTGCGGAGTCGCTCTGCTTCCCGGTACGATAGACCCTCTTGGACACACCCCTGAAGAAGGCCATCAGCAAGCCCGAGACCTGAAGAAACTGCCTGAAGGCTCTAGAGGGCGGACACAAGCAGCACGGAGGCTCTGACGGGGCGTCCACGCCCGCTTGGCAGCGGGCAGAGGGGCGCCTATACAGGCAAACCCCCTTCCACGGCCACAGCTACGCGGCATGCACAGGGGGGCGAGGGCACATGTGGAAACCCTCGTAGTTGTTTCGTCCTAAGAAAACCAAAAAGGGAAGTCTAAAAACTGTGAACACTACAGAGCATGGGAAGAGCCCAGGAAGGAAAAAGCCATGGGGGGGCGGCGCCCCCCACCCCACACTCTGTCTGTTCCTGCAAAGACTCAAGCCCGCCTGCCGGCCACACAAGGTCAGAACTGAGATCAGAGCTGCAGCCCTGGAGACAAGGCTGGTGGTCCCAGCACAGCGAAGAAAGGTCCCCACTCAGACAAAGGAAACAGCACTTGTCAGGTAAACGGAAAACAGAATGTCCACTACTTAACACTCGGATGTCCAGGATGCAATCCAAAATTACCAGGAACATAGTGAGAATCAAGAAATGAAACCTGTTTTCGGGAGAAAGAAAATAAACTCAGTACGAGTCCAAAATGAACAAAACATTGGAACTAACAGGAAGGACTTGAATGGAAGCTTTGTCAAAGAACAAACAGGCACACGGGGACATGTTCAATGTCACTGGCCGTCAGGGAAGTGCAAAGTAAAGCCACAACGAGCTATCACTGCTCACCCGATGGAACCGTCCATGCAAAACACCGATGGAAGCAAGTGTGGGGAGAACACACGGCACGAAACTCTGCTACATTGTTGCTGGGCCCACAAAATCTGCTACCATTTTGCTGGGCCCACGAAACGGTACGGCCCCCCCAGAACACAGGGTTGCAGACTCTCATCCAGCTAAACATACACGGGCCATGGGACCTAGCAGCCCCTAGGTACTGCCTCTGGGGGAAGCAGCACGACTTTACGGTGGCTCCATTCATACTCGGTGAAGGCGGGAAACAGCTCACGTGCCCTCGCTGGTGAACGGCCCCCTGCCGCGCGTCCACCGGTGACATGGTGGAGTACTACGCGGTGACAAACAGGAGTGGTCCACGGCGACACACGATGCTCTGGATGGCTCTCAAAGGCACTACACTGCGCGAAGGAAGCCGGTTTCTGAAGGTTGCACACCAAATGGTTCATTTACGTGACACTCTCAAGAGGAAGCCCCAGCGGGAGAACAGATCCCTGGTCGCTGAGAGCAGGGGAGGGGCACAGCACAAGGGCCTTTTAGAGAATTAAAGAAGCGTTCTGTGTCCTGATAATTACATGCATCTACACCGTGTTAAAATGCACAGAATTGTCTCCAAATGGGAATCTTGCTGGATGTTAACCTAAAAAATAAAATAACTTTTAAAGCCCTAGCCAGGTAGCTCAGTTGGTTAGACTGTTGTCCCAACAGGCCAAGGTTGCAGGTTTGATCTCCAGTAAGGGCACATACAAGAAGCAACCAATAAGTAAAGAGGTTTAAAAAACATAAAATAGTATTTTTAAAGATTTTATGTACGTATGTATGTATGTATGTATTATTACAAGGGAAGGGAGGGAGAAAGAGAGGGAGAGAAGCATCGATGTGTGAGAGATCACATTAATCGGCTGCTTCTCACATGCCCTCAACTAGGGACCTGGCCTGAAAGCCAGGCGTGTGCCCTGACTGGGAATCGAACTGGTGACTCTTTGGTTTGCAGGCCAGTGCTCAGTCCACTGAGCCACATCAGCCGTGGCATAAAACAAACAAACAAACAACTTTTTAGGAGTCCAAGTGAGATCAGGTCCACCCATTGGCTTGGTCTAGTAGGGGTTATTTTTGCTTGCTGAGGTTGGTTGCTGTTGTACCACGAGGTCTCGGCAAAGGGACATCTCAGAGACAACTGAGTTCCTGTCGCTCACTCGAACGGGCTGTCCTGGGGTCCCCGCTCGTTCTATGGGGTTTCTCTATGTGTCCTCGCACCTGTGTGGGAAAACGGGCAAGTCCCTCTTCGTGACGTCAGGCCAAGTGTGGGGGGACAGCAGCCTTTCTCCCCTCAGAGGAGTTAAACGTCTAGATTCTCTGGTGTGTGAACAGAAGACGGAGGACCAGTCTGGGACAGCTGCCACGTGGGCGCCTGGCCACTGCACACCTCCCGGGAAGGCCTCGCCGCAGGAAGAGGGCAGGGAGGGTTCTCCTGAGCGTCAGTGATGGAGACTTATGAAGAGACAAATGCTTCGGTCATTATTAGCATGGCCTCTGGAATCAAGCACCTGGGTTCAAATCCCTGCCCTACTACTTACCAGACATGCGGTACAGGGCAAATTATCTTATTGCTACGTGCCTCAGCTTCTCCATTTGTAAAATAGGGATGACAGTTATCTCACATTGTTGTAACATGAAATGAGTTAATATGTGTAGAGCACTTAGGACATTTTTTATGTAGTAAATGCTTTATAAATGTAAGTTATAATTAAGCAATTGTCATCACTATTATTACTGATAAAAATTACCAAAGTAAATTCAAGTTGAACATTTCCTTGAAAATTCCTATGTGCTGCCTAAACATTCATATGAAAAACAACACCGAGAAGTTAATTAGAAATGAGTGCTTGATTAGTATGTGTTTCTAAGTCATACAGGAACCTGGCACAGGGACTCAGGCCTTTCTCTGATCTTTGGGGCTCCTGGAGGGGACAGCAGTGTCGGGAGGGTGCACATAGTCACAGGGGGGTTGGGGGTAGCGGGGGGGGGGGGGGTGACCTGCACCTGGTGGCCTGGTGGCCCGGTGGCCAGCAGGGTGCTGAAGAGCAATGCCAGCCTCTACCAAACCACCTTGTGTTTGCGAGTCAATGGCAGCAACACTCCAAGTAGGGTGGGTGAGGCGGCCTTGAGTCCTCCAAGGTTACGGGGTAAAACGTTGTCAGGGTGGTCTTGGCTGGCTCCACAGACGGCTTTGCTAAGACTGCACAAATTGGACTTGGTTTTCATTTATGTTGCCAAGTTTGTACAGAAAGAGTCTAATTTCACAATTTTGCCCTGGCCGGCGTGGCTCTGTCTGTTGGAGCATCATCCTGTAACTGAAAGGTTGTGGGTTTGATCCCCAGTCTGGGCATGTGGGAGGCAACCAATCGATGCTTCTCTCTCACATCAGTGTTTCTCTCTCTCCCCCTTCTTCTTGCTCTAAAAGCAATGAAAAAAATGTCCGAAGGTGAGGATAAAAAATATTAAAATTTTACCAACCCCCTACCCACCGCCAAAACAAAACCCTGCCTGCAAATACAAGTGATCAAAATCAGAAATGCCTGATCTGCTCAGTAAGAAAACCCCCGCTGCGAGCTCCGCGGACCTTCTCCCTGGGACATGCCTCCCGTGCTTCCCAAACTCGGCAGCGCCACTGCGTTGACCAGAGGTGGCCCGTCTGCTCCCACAGGCGGTCACTTCCAGGGCGATGGCAGGCTTCTCGGCAGCATGCATGAGCTGCGTGTGTGACGTTCTTAACTTTCATGTGCACAGGAACGGCCAGTGGGCTTCCGACGACTTCACACTCCAGCCCAGAGGGAAGCTGATTATTAGCACGACGATGAACAGAACCCAGAGCCCAGTTTAACCACCACGCAGCATTTCCGAGGTTCTGAAAACTTGTCTGAACTGGAACTACCGGCTGGGGCACCTGCTTGTCTCCTTTGGGGGGTGTGGGGACCGACACTCACATGATGGGTGGAGCACCGCTCTCTCTCAGCATCGGGGAACTATCTCAGAGATCGCCCGCACAAACTGGCGCAAAGGGCAAGGCGCAGATGGGACACAATCAGAGGCGGAACCAAGCCAGCAGTGGCGTGAGGCCCGTACTGCAGCTATCTCGGCGGGCCACCTGTGCCAGAAGTGACCGTTCCCCCTCCACCAGCAGCAGAGCTTCTGGGGGCTGAATTCCAGCCTCATGGCATCTTCTCAAGGTCCAAATGGGGTTCAGAAAACGAGTCCTGGGAAAGGCTGCAATCAGCGTTTCTGCACTGGACAGCCTGGGTCCTGGGGCTTCAGGAAAAGCACTGGCGTGGCATG